AAAAAAAATACAAAACGAGCAAGGTCCTCCTACCTGCTGCAGCCTGAATGTTCCCAGCCACGTGCGCGAGGGCGGCGCGGGCGTGCGTGGTGGGCAGTACGGGCGTGAGGAGAGCCGCGAGGCCCGTGACGGCGAGCAGGGCGCCTCCACCCCCGTACACGGCGCCCACCATCACCCAGACGGCCGACGGGAGGGCGCCCTCACTCCCCGCTACGCCCTGACCCACGGCGGCGCATCTCTGGTCGTTGAGGCCGCCCACGCACCACGCCCACACTCCGAACATCACGGGCGGCGAGGGCGAGTGGCGGACGAACCAGGTGGGCGTGAAGAGGGCAGCCAGCGAGGCGAGGGCGACGAGCAGCGTCACCGCCGCCCATAAGCCAACCACCGCCCACGAAGTCGCCCACGTCCATCCACGAACCTTCATCACATACTATGTCTTCATCACCATCTATGTCTCCATCACCAGCGCTGTCGTCATCACCTTCTAAGTCTTCATCACCGTCAGCATCTTCATCACCAAATCTCCATCACGGTGTTTTCACCACCATCAATTTCATCACCACCATCTATGTCTCCATCACCATCTGTGTCTTCACCACCAACAGTATCTTCACCATCTATGTCTCCGTCACTGTGCCTTCACCACCACCAATATCTTCACCACCATCTAAGTCATCACCAGCTATGTCATCACACTATCTTCACCACCATCTTGTTGAATTCTGGGATGGCTCCGTTTTCTATCAGTTCGCTATCTCATTATTTTTATCTAAGCCATGCAAATTATTATGTTATTACGGCAGAATTATTACTTTAGATACACTGTGGAGTCATTAACTTGGAAACAAAACCCACTAAACCCACACAAGGTATAATAACCTTTACAGATTTCTAAAAAAAGATCTATTCTTCTCTTTTATTCTATTTCTATATTCGTTCTTCTGTGTATCGTTCGTTTATCTTTCGGAGAAATAGAGGATTCAGAGAAGACGATACAAGATCCGATTTGCTTAGTTTCCAAATCCTCTTTCTGTTGTTTTCTTTATCTCTTTGCCATCTCCTGTTCCTCTATATGTATCTTTCTGCTCTTTCTTTTCCTCTTTTCACTTTCCCTTTCTCCTGTCTTTATTGCTTCCTCTTCCTTTTTTTAAAAATTTCTGTCTACCTCTTCCTCTTCGTTCCTCTTCACCTTCCTTCTTCCTATCTCTTCTTCTTCCTCCTCCTCTTCCTTCTATCTTCCTTCCTCCTGCTCTCTCTCTCTCTCCCCCTCTTCCTATCCCCCTCGCTTTACTAAGCTTCAGGAGATGAAAAGGAGAGTTGTATTTGTCTTCCTAGACTGCTACAGGCGAGTCTTATGGTGTCTCGGCCTCCCCTCTGTGTGTTCTGCAGGAGAGGGAAAAGAGAGAAGGGGAATTAGCAAAGGGGGAAAAAGAGGGGAGGGGGTAT